TACTGTAGTCTTACTCGCACTATTTACATTATAAGTTGATTTCTTAAATTGAGTTTGTTTGGCCTAATCGATAATCACACCAATTTGCAATGTTGAGGTCTTGATTTCGAGTCCCGCTACCCTATCATCATTGGCGGAGAAAGTTGAAGTTGAGAGACCTCGATTTTGGACTCACTTTCACAAATTGCACCATCACAAACCAACTAGTTGAAAAATCCAAGGGATTTAAACAAATTTAAAGATGAAGTTGCATATATATTATATAATAGTTGTGGGTTTAGTATAATAAGTAGTTAGGGTTGGGAAAGTGGTATCTTTTGTATTAATTAAATTAATGTGAGATGGGGGGTTGGCATTGGAAAAGGATGTGTGGGTTAATGTGAGAGGGATGAGAGTTCCCCACAGAATTTAACTATAGAGATTCGAAAGCAACCTCTTGGTACACATAGATAGAGATAGGGAAGCTTGGCAGTGAGCTATAATAAGCACGTACTTTGGGTTTCGGACTCTTTTAACATTATTCATATTATCATTTCACTTGTGTGGATGCCAGCTTTGGCAGGGCATTTGTGAGTGACTAATGTTTTCTCACTTTTTTTTTTTTTTTTTTTTTTTTTTTTTTTTTTTTTTGAAAAAAAAAACACCTGTAACAAACATACCTAATATGGTCCAAATTTCAAACTTTTCTAGTTCATCAAAATATTGAACAAAAACTCCAAATTTCTTAATTTGCTCTTATATATCTTCCGTACACTCTAGTTACAAAAGCATATTGTAGATAATATTTCATATTCTTTGTTTTTCTATGGAGGGCAGATGATTGGTCCCCTAGGTCGAACAAAAATTCTTTAGTTATATATAGAATTGTTGATCGCTTTAACATATACGTCATAATGTTGTAATAATGTGATAATAAACCAATCATTTGTTTCTTGTTTTCTATTTTCACTCTCATTTACCAAACAAAATATATGGGCTTTTTACGGTGGTGTAGTGCATGTTTTCAAATATTAGATCCGGCAAGTTAAACATCATGTCAAAATGAAAAAAATAAAAAATTGACAGAACTTGATATGCATATGACAATTTTAAAATGAGCCCTATAAATATAAACTACTATTTTTCATACCCTATTGTGGAATTTTTCAAAACAAAAATATAAAAAAATAATGATGCTAAAGTTAAGAGATATATGTATGAATTGTCATAACTTATTCGAATTATATAATATCAAGAAGAACATGATAATTTAACAGAATTTAAAGAAAATGTATGGTAGTTTTTTTCCCTACCCTACAAGAAAAAATCTCCTTAATTTACTCTGTAATATTTATTTTTTGGTTTGCACGTCCGACGTCGTTTAGCTGATGTATCGAAGAAATTAAATACGCGTCCTTTGAAGTTTGGTTGCATAGTGCCCATTGCTATTTTTAACACTTTTTAAAAAAAAAAAAAAAATTGTATAACCGGGGATATGACTCAAACCTAAAATTATAGACTTCTTGTTCCTAATTCGTACTGTTATTTTTCATGCAGGCCTTTATCTTCAACTTCCAATGTCAAACTAAGTACGTGCAATTATCCTTTTTCAATAAAAAAAAGTACATGCAATAAAAATAAATTAATAGAACAGTCAGAATTCATAAACTCACACAAATAATTGGTGTAAAGATATTATAATATACGAGGCTCGTGTGGTATAGGCTAAAAAAAAAAAAAAACGATCGCGGTGTGTAGTCCTGAGCCGTCACCTAATATCCGAATTATATCCACCGTGATCAGGATTAATATCAGAAAATATCTTCCAAGTGAGCAAGATCACTATCTAGTTTACATGATGAACAAGCAATCAAACAAGCAATTAATATTCCATTGTCTTGACAAATATTAGAAGAAGAAATTATTCTCTTGGAATTTACCTCACAATATAAAAGGAAAGGAGAATAATATAATTCGTAGTACATTGTTGGCCTTAATGAACTTGTTAGATGTTGGATATATTCTAAAATAATTATGAAAAGCTAGTTTTGTTAAGGCATAATTAGGAGAATATATATAAGCATATATATATATATATATATATATATATATATATGCGCGCGCGCGTGTGTGTGTGTAAGAGTGGCCATCAAAGAAATATTGTAGGTAAGATTCGAAGTTTGATATTTCATGAAAGATCAATATCAGGTTGTCCCCCAATCAAATGCAGATTTAGAGGCTGGAGTTAGCTAAACGTTGAAATTTCCCTCGTCATTATTTTTGGAGTGTTTTGGACCACTAAGCCATCCAATTAGCTGCTGAAAGATCTTATGTCTACGGAATATACACATCAAAACTCTTTAAAACATGTATTCTATTTTGTTATATAAAATAATATTAGTCACCATCAATCCAGCAGTAAATTTATTTATTCATAGGTTTGAGTATTCTCTTTTTTTTTTTTTTTTTTGCAACTACCTTAAGTTTCAGTTAATTAGGCACAATTGACATGATTTTTTCCTAACGGTACGTTATAGTTCAAGAGCATTACGTTACATACATGTGATTGCTGAAAATTTTCTACCCTTTTGTGTCTCTGGATGGCATGGCATTGACTGATCATAAAACCAGATAACTAACTTTTGTGTAATTGTAATATAACACACACACACACACACACATATATATATATATATATATATATATGTATGCATGTTTATATATGTATAGTTTTGGGACTTTATAGGAGTTGGTATATATCTGCATTGAATATATGAATATTGTTTATCAATATATTTTGAAAATCGAACATAGTGAAGAGTGTGCGTGTGTGTGTGTGTGTGTGTGTGTGTGTGTGTATATATATATATATATATATATATATATATATAGGTGGGGGTATGCGAGGCGAGGATAAACACGCTGAGTAAAGATTGTTGTGTTTTGCCGAGAACAATAAGCAACACTTATCACCACAACTTCACCTGACATGCGGATGCCTTGTCAATTCATTGTTTCCACAGCAAACTAAAATTATGACCACATGCACCAACACTATATATATATATATATATGTGTGTGTGTGTGTGTATATATGTGTCTATGTCTATCCTCTCTTCTTATTATTTGGTTGCCACAGTCTCTCACCAACGAAACGAAGGGATTCCACATTCTATTCCAACAATAAAATGATCAATTAATTCACAATGGTGAAAGCTATACATAGGCTACTTTGCAAGCCCACAAAAAAAAAACTACCACAACTTTCAACTCATATTAGAATCATATTTTTTCAGTACTCTACCATAGAATTCTCTCAATATATAGGATCCAAAAGCACACACTACTTGTGAAGATTTTTAATGTGACGTGAGAAGAAAAGTAGTGGATTTTAGCTTGCTAGCATTTTCTTTGAAGTATAGCATTGCAATAATAGGGAAGAAAAAAGAATTGTTTATCTAAAAAGTAAGTAATTCATGAATATTTTGCTTTAATTTATTCCCCGTTCACTTCACTGATTCGAATTTAAAATTCGAATTGAAATGTGACTTTATGTGAAAGCTTTTTACTGTAGCAAAAAAGTTAGATGTGATTGTTTGTGAGAACTTTTTACTGTAAAAAAACTCGAATTCTAAACTCGAATCAGTGAAGTGAACGAGGCCAATACACACACGGAAGGGATAAAGTTAACAAGAAAAAGAGGGGTTTTTTTTTTTTTTGGTTGACAATGAGAGAGAAAAGAGTAATTACTAATTAGTCATAAGGAGGTTAGGACCAGGTTGACTCTAAAATGTTTATCCCCCAAAATTCAAGGGGGAGGAAAAAGCAAAAATATGACAGTTTGGTGGACATTCTGTAATCTGTAAACTGTTGCATAATCCATTCCAATTCCATGGAGAGATGACTATGAAAAGTAATAGTGATAATATCCGAGTTATGATAATTTATGAATGGAGAGGGTCCAAAATCTAAAATAGGACAAAATTGGGGAAAAGTTGGGAATTATGAGAAAGAACGCGGAGATTAATGTCTTTTTGCTCAAGTAAGAGGATCAAGTGAAGCGCGCGAAATCAAGTCGCGAGTTACTTAAGGCCGTGTTTGCCTGTTGGGACCTCCTCGTGAATATTCCTCTCATTTCCCCTCTCCCTCTGTTTTTATTTATTTCTCTTTTTAGTTTTCCTTCCTTTCACGCTTCAAGAATTTTATGATAGTGCAACATTTTTTTTTTTTTTTGGTGTTGGAAGACTATATCAGACCATCAAACAATATATCTTTAAATTTTACAGAATTTGACAAATGTATCTTGCAGAATTGTCTAATATTTGATATGATATTTTTTTTTGTAACATGCACAAAATTCTCTCTCTTACTTATATGGTCTTTTATTCTCACTTTGTATTTGTTGATTTTTTTAGAGTGCATAATTTGGACTATCGCTCATTTTGAAAAAGGAAAAAAATTATAAATTTAACCGAAATTCAGTAAATATTAGATTATGAAAAAAGCTTGTTGTTTAAGAGTGCCCATCTTTTAACAAAATTTCTTATTTTATTTATTTTTGCTAAAATCCCTATGTTTATATATATATATATATAGACACTAAAAATCCATGCTCACATTCATCGATTTGTATGTTTTTAATAAAGAAATTTATCTTCTTTGAAAATTTTTGTGAAAAAGCAATTGATTTTTTTTGAGGTATCAAGGTATATATTTGATACACTAGTTTTTATGGTATATTTGATACACTTTGAATGTTCTTGTATATATTTAATGAGATGTTGATAAATTTTCTAAATAAGTTAAAAATATATTTCCCTTATTTGAATAAACTTTTCCTTCTTTTTTTTACTCTCTCTCCTCTCACCTCATAAATAAGAAGAGAGAGAAAAAAGAAATCTTGTGCAGAGAGCCTGAGCCCTCTCTCTCTCTCGCAAGAAGACAGGGACTTGCTTTCTCTCTATAAATACCACTTCTCTCTTGTCTCTGTACTTCTTTATCTCTGTTTTGTCACTCTTCTTCACTACACTCTCTCTCCTCTTCTCTCCTCTCCTCTAACAACAACAATACAACTCCATCTGTATACTGCCGAGAAACGTGAACAACCAGACCAGAGGAGGAAAACCAAAAAAGAAAAAGGAAAATAAGAGAGGAGTTGTTTTCTTGTTTTTGTTATTGTGGGTCTTTCTGGTAAGCACAATGTCGGCTTTGAAAGACGAAGATCCTCGCATTCATGGCATCAAAACTAAGATTCGCGTTGTCCCCAATTTCCCTAAGCCTGGTTTCTTTCTTCTCTCTTACTCTCTTTTTCCTTTTTTATTTCTTTAGAGAAAAAAAAGATTTTTTTTTTTTGGAGAAAAGAGAGCTTGTTGAAAACCCAAGTATATTTGACTTTGATTCTGAGATGGTTTTCATTTTCTTTGGAAAAGCAACGGCCTTTGATGGCTAAACCCAAAAAAGAAAAAGAAAAAATCCTTTTTTCTTTTGTTTCTTTTCTTCTTCAGTTTGCTTCTTCTTTTGTTTTTCCTTTTCCCACCAAATAAAGGCTCTTCTTTTATGCTCTTTTCTTGTGTTTCTTTTCTTCTTTTTTTGTTTTGTTTTTGTTTTGTCTTTTTAAGGGGCTGTGCAATGTGCAGGTATTATGTTTCAAGACATCACAACTTTACTGCTCGACCCAAAAGCCTTCAAGGACACCATTGATTTATTCGTTGAGAGATACAAAGGCAAAAACATTTCGGTTGTTGCAGGTAACCCAACAAAAAAGAAATGTTTTCCAAGATGGGATATTTTTTTCTTTCTTTCTTTCTTTCTTTTTTTTTTTTCTTTTTCATTCACCTTAGGAAGGGAAGGAACCAAAAAAAAAAAAAAGAAAAAAAAAAGAAAAGAGCTTGAAGTTGAACAATTTGATCTAAAGCCATTGGAAGAACTTTGAAGGAGGGTGGTGGGGTCCATTGCTTGCGAGAAAAGTAGGTCTGAATGATGTAAGAAAACAAAAATAAAATAGAAAGATAAAGATTGCCGTAAATATTTTTGGCATAAGTTTCTGGTTGTCTCTTTGGAATGCTTTTGAGGGACATTATGGAATGGAAGTGACTGTGGCTGTGGGTTTTTGGTGGAGTGATTTCTTGTTTGACTATGGCTTGGGGTTGGTTGGGGTGTGTGGTTGGGGGGGGGGGGGGGTGGGGGGGGGGTGCCACTCATGGCTCTCGCCACTCATGGCTCTCTTTTTTCCCTCTCAACTTCTTATTTTTGGGCGGCTCACATTCTCTCTCTCTCTCTCTTAAGCATGTGCTTGGATCCAATTTGCAAGCATGGTGGTTGGTGATGGATGCCCACCTTGTGAAAAAAATTGTGGGACCCCCCTTCTGATGCTAGAGTTTCAATTCCCTCTAATTGTTTGTTTTGTTTTGTTTTTTTGGCTTGGCATCGCTTCATTATAGTGTGGCTTTCCGCCCACAAGGATAATCTGATTATGTATGTGCCTGAATGTATTCTCTTTTCTGTTAGATATTAACTTGGTGAATTGTTTTTTTGTTTTCTTTATGTTCTTTACCAGCTTTAACCCCTCGAAAATTGACCCCCCCTAAGAAGAAACAAGGGTATTTTGTTTTTTCGCCCTTTCTTCTTTTGCTTAAACATGTGAATGTTTAGACTTTGATTCATTTACATTGTTGAAGACAAGGAAGAAAATCAAACCTTACTTAGAAACCGGAGTCTCTAGTGGCCGTGAATTTCACTCTTATCACACTTTGGTTGACTGTGTTGTATAATCAGAGGCCTTGGTTCTATGTATACTTAGACAGAGAGCCCCGTTTGAAATAGCTTTTGCTTGTGCTTTTAGCTACTCGAAAAAGAAGTAAAAGTTTTGACTTTTCCATCCGTGTTTGAAACCATAATTTTGAAAGAACTTAATAAGTGGACAAAAATGATAATTAAATTTATTATAAATCAATCAAAATATTAGAATGAAGTTTATTAAATATTATTATTTGAAGATCCAGTACTAAGTAGAAGTTTCAAAGTCATATTTTCGGACTTTGGGTGAATGTTTTTCCGGTGGCGTTCTTCTAAAAGGTGGCTCTAAACACTCCGAGAGGCTTCTTCTGGACCCAAGAAGTCAAAAGCTAGTTCTAGGAAGTCATGCCAAACATTCCCATGTACTTTTGGTTATTGACTCAAAGTGGAGCTGAAAATTTCTCGTGATTTCTCATTATTGTTGGTCCTTGTTTCTTAATAATTTTATTTCCATCATAGATGATTCCTTGGTGTTTTGTCTTTAACACATTTGTGTCCTTGGATCTGGCACTTTGTGAGCTTGTGTGGACGTATACTGTCCTCTTGAATATTATAACTATTTTGGAATCTTCTCTTGCAAAAAAATATCATCACATGGTTAAGATGAAAGCAAACCACTTGAAGGATAAGGATTAGAGTTTTCTTGTCTGTTGTCACTATAACTGATGTTACCTCGGAAGTTAATTGCATGTGCTCTTCAATTCTCATATTATAACCCTTTGTGCATTTCAAACCTTTTTGCTCAAGTTAATTGCATGTGCCTTTTATATATTGTTGGAGCCTTGTGTCATTTCCATACTTTTGTAAGGGTTGAAAACTTTTTTTGGCCCGGCTTATGAGTCTCTATCAGAGGCATACTTTTCCACGTTCAGTGTTGAAAAATCTGTTAAAAGCACCTTTCTTTCTTTAACATGATGTATTGCCACTGTATTTTCAACAAATTGTTAAGAATGTTCCTCAATCCTAAGGCTCCGTTTGGTAGGAGGGATGGAGACTAGGTATGATGGAGAGTAAGAAGGATGGAGGGGTTATAGTAATCCTTCATGTTGTTTAGTACAAGTGAGGGAGAGTTGAAAGGATGGATGATAGTTGTTTGTCGACTTATTATATTGTCCATTTTGTTTATTTGGCAATAATTTCTTTAGGGGTAAAATACACTTTTAGTTTTAAAATTGGATGGATTGGTTAGATCCTTCCATTGATGGAAGGATCCAAATTGGTGGGCGCGGAGGGATACTCCCTCCCTCCATGCCTCCTCTCTCTCCTCTCATCCGTCCAACTAAACAAGGGAATTGTTTTCTCCCCCCACCTCTCTCCCTCCCTCCGTCTCTCCCTCCTACCAAACACACTCTAAAGGTCAGTCCGTCAATTCTATGAAGTGGGGGGCTTGAATGTGATTGAACATCGGATAGAGAACACTATATCCTAATTCAAACTAAAATTCTGTCCACAATCCAAGGCCAAATTTCGCAAATGAAATTCAATTTTCTTTTTATCTTTCACTGTACTTTGCCCCTTAATTCCTCTAGAAGTTAAATTTACCTTGGTTGCTGTGGTGATGCAACATATTCTTAACCAAGTTGTTAACTTATGTACTTAGTTGAGCTAAAGGGTGTTCTAACATTCCCAAATTTTCATCTGAAATATGTTTCCATTTTTGTTTCTGCAGGAATCGAAGCTCGGGGTTTTATATTTGGTCCTCCCATTGCGTTGGCCATAGGAGCAAAGTTTGTTCCACTGAGGAAACCAAGGAAGTTGCCCGGTAAACCTGAATTCCCATATAATTATATACTCCACATCGTGTTATGCCTGGATTATGTTGCTTAGGGTATTCGCGTTGACCTGATCTGCAGCCCATCTTAGATGTTTTCTCTTCTTTTTTTTTTTCCTATGGCTTTTGTTTATTATCATCTAGTTGCATGTAAAATATATTTGTGTCACACTCTGTCTCACGTGTACGGGTAATTGTGTCGTCAGCATCAGTTAGAATTTAGATAGACCCAACAAGCAATATGTGCATATTTGTTTGTGAGCTGGAAACATATTTCTTTACGAGGTTCAAACTCAGGACCTCTTGTTGTGATACTATGTTAATACAGGGTTCAAACTCGGGACCTCTTGGTTTGATGCCATGTTTGTTTACTGTTTCTCCCAATAGCTTGAGCTATTAGGAAGTTGCCCAATATTAGTTTTTTGTTTTCTAATACAAGTTGGTGGTCTTCGAAAAGCATTACAAACGAGGGTTTGTTTCATGTATAAACTTTAGCCATTTACCTTCCTTTTCTTCAAATATTGAAATATCATGAACAATGGCCAAAGGCTAGATTGTCACTGTAAATATATACAACTTGCCAGGTGAGGTTATCTTCAAAGAGTATACATTGGAATACGGAAAGGACCGTCTTGAGATGCATGTAGGAGCAGTTGAACCCGGTGAACATGCTTTGGTGGTTGATGATTTGATTGCCACCGGGGGAACACTCTGTGCTGCAATGAATTTATTGGGTAATTTTACCAGACAATTTGCATTCCAAATATTGAACGAATAGATGCCTTCTTTTATGGCATTCTTCTTTATAACTTGTACGTGCATGAGCTTGTTTTGTTCATGAAGGGAAACAAAAGAGTATATCTTGTGAAAAATTCATGTCATTCCTTATTTGCTTATGCAAATCATGATATGATTATGTTATCGAAGTACTATTGTGTTAGTGCATGTGCTAGTATTTTTTTGTAGTGACATAAGTATATTGTTTCACAGAACGTGTGGGAGCAGAGGTAGTTGAATGCGCATGCGTCATTGAATTACCAGATTTACAGGTGCGTTGTTTAAAATCATAATCATAATTTAGTCCTTAAATTTACATGGCAATAGCACTTAAATCATTATTTTGAATGGAATAATCACTTTTCTAGCACATGTGCCCTTAAGCTTTTTGTGATTTGATACTTCTCTGAAAAAATCATAATTATTATTTTTTATTTGGCAATTTAGTTCTTGAATTAGTCCCGAAATCTTTTAAAATTTAAGCGATTGCCAAGAGAAAAATGATCGAGAATGAAAGTGTGAAATTATGAAAAATTCAGGGACACAAGTGCTAAAATAACCTTTGGCTTTTGCTTAAGGGATAAATAGGAGTTAATTAAATGTGTGTGATATTGGTTGCAGGGTCGTGAGAGATTGAACGGTAAGCCACTGTATGTACTGGTGGAATCACATTAATCCAAATCCAAATCAAAATCAAAATCAAATCAAGCTGAGAAGGAGGATTATAATAGTGCCCACCAACTTCAACTTCAACTTCAACTTCAACTTCGACTGCAGTGCTCAGACCAACACGAAAATGTACATTTAAGAGTCGCATTTATTGGCTACTTTTCTTGGGATCTGATTGCATTCAGTCCTGAGTCTTACCCCCACCATTTTACCAGTTTCTTCTTCTGAATATTGATTTATTGAAAAAAAAAAAAGAAATTTTAAGTGTTGGCGATTGGGACCCTTCATTTTTACCTAGTAGCATATAGTGCAAAATTATGGAAAGGGCTTTGATTTTGAGAAAAATGCTTCGTAGGGACTCTTGATTTTTTTTTTTTATTTATTTGAGTAAATGAAGTTGATAATGATCCCATCCTATATTGGTGGTGGGTTTCATTTCATTTATATGCTGAGCCTCTCATGGTGTGTGTGTGTTCTTAACACAAAGCAGAGATTGAGGAGAGCTCAAATTATGTGCTGGTGTATATGATTGATTGGTATTTGGTAAGACCATTTATTTAATATATGGCCCTTGACTGAATTCCATGGTTGTTTTCTGTTTGCCACATTATGCATCAAGAATTGCAGATACATAAGAAACATTAAGTTGTGACCTCATCATCTTGTAAGAGGGTATTGCATAGTATGAACCGTTTTCGTTTCATTAAATTCTATTAAACTGTGAAAAAAAAAGTTTAAAAAAAGGTTAATTTTACAAATGGTTTTTGAAATTTAGTCGTTCTTGATTTTTTAAACTTCACACAATTAGTTTTTGAAATTTTAATCTATTTAGTGTTAAATATTTAACGGAATACGTAGAAATTATGGATGAAAATTAAAAACACATAAAGTTCAAAGATTGAAATAATAAAAAAATTAAAAGTTAATTTTTAGAGACTTAAAATTTTAGTTATTTTTAATTTTAGATTTTAATTTACACAGATTTTATTACATTTTAACGCTTAATTGATAGAAGGATAAAAATAAAAATAAAATAAAATCTTAGGGACTAAATATGTGACGTTTAAAACGTCTGGAATTAAAATGGATTGAATATAAACCTATTGACTATTTGCGGAATAATAAAATTGTGGTTCAAAATCAAATTGTGAAACAAATTAATATGCCTTTGTCTTTATGAATTGGCTTGGGGCCCCGGGGAATTGGAATTTGGGCTGGTGGTCCAATTAATTGTCACCACTCACCACTGAAAATTGCTGGAGAACTTGGGGAAGCTTCTTTATGGGCCACAACAAATTCGGCCTTTTGTGCAAGACAAATCGTTTTCTCACAAGTAATCTTCACAAATATCCTTAAAAGTACTTAAGTCAAGATTTTTTATTTTTTAGTTAAATAATTATATTAATAAAATGGTATTTATTAAAAATAAAGGGTAATGGTTTAAACTTGTACACTTTTAAAAGTAAATTCTCTATTTTTTCTTTTTTCTCTCTCAGACTATATGTCTCTAAACAGATTGAGATTGGAGAGTAAAAGTATAAATTAGAACAGAAATTTGATAATATCTAATGGTTTAGAAATGTTATGCATTTATAGTTTTTTTTTTCTTTTTTAAAATATTCTTAATGGGAAACATGAGTTAAATTTTTAATCTTAAGATGTGCTTCTTTTCGGGAACGTGGATTTTTAAGCAATCTAACAACATACAAACTTCCTACAAGGTGTAACATGTCCTTCAAAGATTGTGACCTTATACCGAATGTCTATCCTAAACCCCTTTGGTCTTCCATTTTGTCCCAAGCAGACAAAAAGCTTTCTGCTCCAATTGCCTAAACTTTGCCTTGTGGTTTGTTAATTCAACCAAACATTTGAGCAGGTGAACTGGGCAGTTAAAACCAGAGGGATGTTAAGTGATAAATCATCCTTCATTGGTTTAGTTACTTCTCTTCAACAACCAAACAAACAAACCAATTGTTTGTTACTCTCTATGTTCATAGTTTGATATGTTGACTATATTAACATGATATATTATTATTTAAACAGAATGTGACAGAAAGAGTGATGCAATAAATAGTGAAATTCACGTGTCAGACAGAGTGACAAAAAAAATGTGATTATAGAGTTCACGTTTAAATAGTTAATACAGAGAGTAGACTTAAAAAGTATCTCTCGACGTTAGCATTTCTCTTATAACAAAACTACTCGTTATTTGTTGGGCTTTACATATTCTGGTTATTTGCATAGTTTTGAGCCACGAAGCATGTTCTTGGTGTCATGTCAACACTATTAGTTCGATCAACTTTCTTTTTTGGTAGTTTAAAATAGCTGATTTTTCAGTTTTTTTCTTAGCTTGCCGATGCATATATTTAAGAACGTTTGCCAGTTTTGATTATTCAAATTTAAAAACTTTTTTTTTAATAGAAATAAAAGAAAAGCGAATAATCAAAAAGTTTTTGAATCCTTATGTAGGCTTCATAGTCTACACTATGAATACTTCAAAGGTATGGAATATATGGAGAAACAAAAGGTGTTCAAACTCTTGAGAATCCTAGGAGGAAAATCCTGGAACATAGAGAATCAACCATGCATTGGGACAAGGGTAAAAAGGATAAATAAAAAATCTAACCTTGTGGGGAAATATGAACTTCCTCTAAAAGTGGGTTGATTTTTTTAATACATGAGTTATATTTTTACACCTATGTAACATACTAATTTTTCAAATCTCACAGGCGTCTCTTTAATTAGTGTTGAAACTTTTTTGACTTTTCTAGTTCAACCTTTAGTATGCCAAAAGAAAGGGAAACCATTTTATCATATGTGGAGTGTAGAAATCTTGACAATGGGGTTTAATAGTTCTATCATAATATTGGTAAAGATCATAGCTTGAGAGCCCTTTTTTTGCTATTGAAATCACTATAAATTAGTAATCATCTTTGCTTCAATCTTCGCTAATAACTTTTGATGTGTTCCTAGTATACTTTATACGTGTTTCTTAGAGGCATTACAGCCTTTAAGCCTCAACCAATGTAATGGTTATAAGCTTTGCTTTATCCTTAAGCTTACTACATTATACGTAATGATATCAAAGAGCACAACTAACATTGTATAACTAAGTGCCCCCCCCCCCCCC